TTTTTGTGTATTTTGCCAATTAGTCCCTAGGTCTTTTTGTGTTAAGTCCTTAGGGTCTTTTTTATTTGTTTTTGTTCCAAAGAAGAGTCTAGAAGGGTCCCTAGGCTTAATGGACTAATCCGAATTGGGCCAAGAACTGGGTTCTAAAACTCTTAAAATTGTGATCCAACACCTTAATTGACTCCTTTTAAAATAAGATAAAAATGCTACACAATGCAAAAGCTAACATGAAACTATTATATATTTTTTGGTATTTTCAAGATTATATAAAGATAAAAATAAGTACTATTTTGTATATTTTTATTTAAATTTACGAAAGATACGTAAGCTAAAATATTTTTTTTGTAATTTTCTATTTTTATGACGAAAATAAAGTCAAGAAGTCAAAAATAGTTGAAATAGCTATATTAGGCCTAAATTAAATCTTTTCATGCTAAAATATAAAAAATCTTGGGGAGGGTCAAAAATCACATGTCTACAGCTGCCCCTCTTTGACTGGAAATGCGAAGAGTTTTCAGACAAAGAATGACTAGACAGGTTTTTTGACCCGACCTTATTTGGAGAGACTAAAACTAAGAGAAAAGGGGAATGTGACCGAGCCCTGGTATTTGAGCTGCCTACATATCCTTGGCTATAAAGGAATCAGGCCACGTGTAGTTCAGAAGTGAGTGAGATGATGGAGTACCGAGGTGGAGAGCCGATCCAGCTGCCGTTCTGCCGAGGTTCCGGTCCGCGGTCCTGTTATTACATCAAAATCAAAAGAACTAAAAAAAGTCTAGCTAAACCTGTCAACTACGAGTTACAAGATTCCTATCTATAAGTCTTCTGAAGCTTGATCTTAAGTCTTGAGTGGTTCTTCATGCAGACTAAGATTTGAATCTTGACGCTTGCTAAACTTGAATGTATTCCTCTGTTCTTCAGTCAGGCTCCTGACTGCTAACACTTGAAATATATGCCTCTATTCTCCAGGCGGGCTCCTGATTGCTAAAACTTGAAATATATGCCTCTGTTCTCCAGGCGGGCTCCTGATTGCTAAAACTTAAGATAAATGCCTCTGTTCTCCAGGCGGGCTCCTGATTGCTAAAACTTGAAATAAATGCCTCTGTTCTCCAGGCGGGCTCCTGATTGCTAAAACTTGAAATATATGCCTCTGTTCTCCAGGTGGGCTCATGATTGCTAAAACTTGAAATAAATGCCTCTGTTCTCCAGGCGGGCTCCTGATTGCTAAAACTTGAAATAAATGCCTCTGTTCTCCAGGCGGGCTCCTGATTGCTAAAACTTGAAATAAATGCCTCTGTTCTCCAGGCGGGCTCCTGATTGTTAAAACTTAAAATAAATGCCTTTGTTCTCCAGGCGGGCTCCTGATTGCTAAAAACATAAAAATAAATGCCTCTGTTCTCCAGGCGGGCTTCTGATTGCTAAAAACTTGAAAATAAATGCCTCTGTTCTCCAGGCGGGCTCCTGATTGCTAAAAACTTGAAATAAATGCCTCCATTCTCCAGGCGGGCTCCTATTTGCTATAACTTGAAATAAATGCCTCTGTTCTCCAGGCGGGCAGGCGGGCTCCTGATTGCTAAAACTTGAAATAAATGCCTCTGTTCTCCAGGCGGGCTCCTGATTGCTAAAACTTGAAATAAATGCCTCTGTTCTCCAGGCGGGCTCCTGATTGCTAAAACTTGAAATAAATGCCTCTGTTCTCCAGGAGAGCTCCTGATTGCTAACTCGAATGTATTCCCTTGTTCTCCAGGTGGGCGCCTGATTTCAACAAAATCGACAAACAAAGAAAATTTTCTACCCCAGTTCGGTGGTCGGGCGCATCATTTTACCAAATATTACAAAAATTTGAAAGCTAAAACTTGAATTGTACTTCCCTTGTTCTCCAGGTGGGCGCCTGATTGCTGAACTTGAAATGTATTCCCTTGTTCTCTAGGTGGGTGCCTGATTGCCAAAACTTGAACTGTATTCCCTTGTTCTCCAGGTGGGTGCCTGATTGCTGAACTTGAAATGTATTCCCTTGTTCTCCAGGTGGGCGCCTGATT